ATTGGATAGCTAAGAGCTCCAAACGGGAAATGTCCCAATGAACACATGACTTTCTAAATGCCAACAAAAATTTTCCTTTGTAATCTCAAAAAACTCCTCCAATTCTAGCTCTATATGAAGAACTAAGTGAGGCATCAACATTAACCTTAACCAATCAGATGGAGGAGGATTCCAAAAATTAGACAGTCTAATCAACTGGTTAGCATCCCAGTTGCTTGAGCTGAAATTACAAGACATTTTAGAAAACAAGCAGTAGCTAAAAGCATTAGTAGCAATCACAATCGTACTCTCTTCCACTCCTTCATGAATGAATTAATTTGTAGCTTTCCATGAGAGGAACATAACATTGCAATAAAGATTAACAAGCATATAAATATGCAAAGCAAAGGATTCTAACCACTTACAACAATCTTCAAAATTAACAAATAGTGGGATTCCAAATCCCCAATTGTTTAAATGTTGGAATGCTTCTTTCAACTTGACACATTTGATGGAAACATGTTCAACATATTCTATCCCATCCCAGCACCTAGGATAGGTTTCATTATCTTGCAATCTCCTGTGGGATAAAAAATGGCAAGTAGGAGTTGCAATTTTGAACAACCTCCACCAGAATACCTCTACCTGAGAGATTAATTTAGCCTTTTTGATTTATTTCCAAAACTTGTGTTCATACCGATCTTGTAATGATGCTTCAAATGCCAAACCAAAAATAGTTTTACCCGACTTCTGATAAATAAGCTCCAACTTGTCTTCATCAAGATATAATTTGATCTTTATTTGTAAAATCAATTCCACAAGATCCTTACCAAATAATTTTAGTAGATCATCCTCATTAGATCTTCCATTTTCAATAAGTCTGTCCACCAAAATTACTTCATCACCTTGAGGCACCACATACGTTGGCCATTTGTTAATGCATTTGTCCATAATCTAATTATCTTTATAAACATCAATAGAAGCACCATTTGTAATGATCCACCTAACAATAGGATTAAGCAACCTCCCACCATCAATTATTAATTTCCATGAAGATGAGCAAGCTTTCTTTGAATTTCTAGCGCAGCCGAAGTTCTAAACTTTGGAACAAGGAATTTGTGAGGTAGCGATTCCTTATCTTTTACAAATCTCCAAGCCAATCTTGCTCTTAATGCAACAACTATAGATGCACTAGAATGCAATCCACGCCCTCCCCATTTCAAAGGCTTGCACAAATCAAACCAGCTCAGATATTGTAAACCCAATCTTCCATTCGACTTATTCCATATGAAGCTCCACCACAACTTATCAAGCTCCTCAAGCACTCCTTTTCGAATAAGGGGATATGTGCTATGAAATGTGGGATAAGAAAACATAACTGATTTAACAAAGGCAAATTTTCCAGCCAAGAAAAAGAATTTGCCGCCCCAAATGTTAAGCATCCTCAATGCTTTGTCAATGAAAAATTGAAAATCAGCAGCTACTAATCTTCTCAAAGCAATTTTTACACCAAGGTAATAAAATTCTTATACTGATTTAAATCCCATAATATGTGTAATAGCTTTCTTTTTTCCTTTTATTAATAAATTTTCCAAAAAGAATGGCAGATTTGTTAATATTAATACTTTGACCAGTCTAGCCACAAAAGTCAATAAGAATCCCCTTAATCTCCTTCACCGCCAAATTATTGTCTTCATAAAATTTAATAACATGTTCTACATATAATAAATGTGAAATCCTTGGACCATCTGAACTATTGCTAATCCAAATTGAGCTTTGAGCAAAAGCATTAGATAGTAGTTGAGAGCAAAGAATGAAAAGGAGAGGAGACAAGGGACAACCTTGACGGAATCCATTCTTGGCTTTAATCCATTTTGAAAAGTCCCCAGTAATAGTCAATGAAAACCTTGGATCTTCAATATGAGATTGGAAAACTTGGTAGGAAAGACAAAATATTCCAAAACCTTCGCACATAGAGTCATATGCTTACTCCATGTCAATTTTAAATGAGACTAGGCCTTTAGAAGATCTAGAATACCTGAACTTGTGGAATATTTCTTAAGCAACCAACACATGATCCGAAAGAGATCTACCTTTAATAAAAACCACTTACTCCTCAGAGATAAGTTTAGGGTTAACAGATAGTAATCCATTCAAAATCACCTTCGCCGCCACTTTGTAAATAGAATTACATAGACTAATAGGTCTATACTTAGAGGGAATCAATAGGTTGCTCACCTTAGGAATGAGAACAATTAAGGTATCTTTCCAAACTTTATCCAACTCACCATGATAAAGAAAATGTTTGATATCATTCCAAAAATCACCTTTAATAATGTTCAAAATAAGCTTTGATAAAAAAAATAGATGATACCATCATATCCAGGAGTGATATTTCCACTAGTTTGTTTCAAAACTAGCTCCATCTCCTCCACGAAAAAATCCTTGTTCAACAAACATTTGTCAGCATCGTTCAACCAATTCAGTGGCATTGGCCATCCATCCAAGTTATAGCTTCTCTATTTCCATTTTTTATTGAAGAATCAAAAGAAAATGTCTGCTCTTCCATCTGTACACCATTCTCATCTTTGATTTTAACAAAGCTATTTGAATTCCTCCTTTTTTTTTTTGAAGAAATGCAAATTGCATTAAGGAGAAAAAAGAAAATAACTAATTACAAACATCAAAAGGATGATACTCTTCCTTGATTAAACTAGCCATCAAGGTAGGGATATCATCAAAAGAAAAGCTATCAAAATAAAAACTCTAAAGCCATAGTAGCACACAAGTTGGCTACCTTATTACACTTCCTATAAGCATGTACAAAGACAACTTTATTGAAATCATTCACAAATAAAGAATCTCTTTCCAACTTGACGTTCATGATTCCTTTATTCTGCTTCAAGGAGTTTTGAATGTAGTTGATAACATTACTGTTATCACTTTCCATAATCACCCCTTTATAGTCCCTCATCCAGCTTTTAACATAATCCTTGGCCGAGAGAATTGCTCCCATCTCCAGCTGTGTTATATCCCAATGCATCATCTTCTTCCCAAATGCAAGAATGAACCTTCTATTGCAATCCCGGAACACACCACAAATTCTAGCTAATCCTGAAGTAGTTAAGGAAGCATCAATATTGATTTTCATCCATTCTTTCGGTGGGGGGCACCAAAAACTTGAGACTCCCTAAGGAGGTTAGTGCTCCAATTAGAAAGAGACGGACTAGTCTTACTAATGGACAGTGATAGTGCATTAGAAGCAACCACATAAGAAGGAAGTGTAGTTTTGCCATGTTTAATCTCATTCCTATTCTTCCAAGATAAGTAAACAGTAGTACAATAGATTTGTACAATACCCAAATGATTTGCTGAATTTTTCTTAAGTTCCTTGAGGAAATGATCTAAGGAATGAAAAATAGGAATAGAAATACCCCAACTAACAAGCTGATTGATGATTTCAATAAAATATTTGCATTGAACAATGATATGTTCATAGGTCTCCACCATGCCACAACCTCTAGCACAGGAATCATTATCTAGGAGCTTACGGTTCATAAGATATAGGTTGGTAGGAATAGATGAATTCCCAAGTCTCCACCAAAACATCTTCACCTTCTTGCTTAACTTGAGTTTATTAAGCTAATTATAATAGTCTTCATCAATTAAACTGAATTTTCTTCTTAATACTTGCTCAAAAGCCAATCCAGAAACTGTACTGCCGGGACAGAACTTTTGCATTTCCAGAAAGTCTTCTCTGCTGGAATCAGCCTGAATACTGCTGATCATCTTAACTAGTTCCAGATGAAAACTCACCTGAAGCAAATCAATATTCCATTGGCCATTTTCCAACATTAACTGCTTAACACACAGTCCCTCCAAGGCAGCACAATCAGCAAAAGTCGGCCACTGGTTGATACATCTGTCAAGGATCCATATATCATTCAGCATATTGATCTCTTTGCCATTACCAACATTCAATCTAGTAATGTTCTTAAGAAATTTCCCACCATCTAATAAGATCTTCCAGGCTTTAGAAGTGACATTATTTTGTGTACCATGCAAGATACTCTTCCCATACTTAGCTCTCATAGCTCTATGAAAAATTGTACCAAGTTTTTGAAGAAAATTCCAAGACAGATTTGCTCTTAAAGGTCCAGCCTTCAGCATTGGTGATTGTAATCCCAAGCCTCCCATACTTCTTGGTTTGCACAGATTATCCCAAGCTATGTAGTGAATACCATGACTACCATCATGTTTATCCCAAATAAAACTTCTACAAAGTTTTTCCATAGTAAGCAACACCTTCTTAGGGATCATGGAGTGTGTTATTAAGAAGTTAGGCATGGTCAAAAGAGAGCTAGTGATGAGAGTAACCTTACCACCCAAAGAAAGAAATTTCTTCCCCCAAGTATTGAGTCTATCCATCATATTAGTTAAGATATCATGAAAATCTGTTGCCCTCAACCGATTAAGAGATAACTTTATCCCAAGATAGCTCATCTCCTTGACAACTTTGAAGCTCAAAACTTTAGTAACCTTCTTTCTCATATGATTACTAACAATATTTCCGAAAATAATTTGAGATTTATGGGTATTGACCCTTTGCCCAGTCCAATTACAAAAGTCATCCACAATACTCTTCACCTCCTTAGCAATTTCCTTAGAGACTTGTGAAAAAATAATGACATCATCAGCATATAAGAGATGAGTTATTCTAGGACCTCTAGGAGAGATTTGAATACCAATATTAAGGCCCCTTTCATAAATGGAATTGGATAGCAATTGAGAGCACAAGATATAAAGATAAGGGGATAAAGGAAACCCTTGACGAAAGCCACTATGAGCCATAATCCATTTAGAATTCCTCCCATTTATGATAGTAGAGAACCTCACATTAATAATGCATTCCATAATAAGATTAGCATATCCAGGAGGGAAACCATACCATTTGAGGACGTGATCAAGAGTAGGCCATCCCATGCTATCATAAGCTTGCTCCATATCAAGCTTCAAAGCCATCATCCCCTTCCTGGATATGCTAAGCTTGCTCCATTTCTGGAAACTTTGAACTTGTGTAAAATCTTCGGTGCCAAGAGACAGTGCTCAGAGATAGATCTCCTAGGAATAAAAGTCATTTGTTCCTCAGTAATCAGCTTGGGCATACACATCTTCAATCTATTCACTAGCATAGTAGCTACAACCTTGTAATTCGTCTGACACAGGCTAAAAGGACAGTAATTGGAAGGAAGCAATGGATTCTTTACTTTTGCAATCAAGACAATTAAAGTGTCTTTCCAATCTTTCCTCATACAACCATTAGTAAAAAAACTATTGATAGCATTCCATAAATCTTTCCAAACTATATCCCAATAGTACTTATAGAAAGAGGAAGTAAGGCCATCCATACATGGGGAATGATTGTTCATTTGCTGGAAAACTGACTTCTTAAGCTCCATCACCGAGAAATCTGAGCTAAGATCTTGGATATCCTCATCATTTATCTTCTGGTGAGCCAAAATTTTGGGCAAACCTGATAGTTGACAGCTTCTATTCTTCCATTTTGATTCAAAATGTTGAATAAAATCCTTTTCACTTTCCTCTTCTTCAATTTGCATCATATTGTAAGCATCTTTAATTTGGTTTATTCTATTACCATTCCTTCTATCCGTAGCAAAATTATGAAACAAATTGGAATTATAATCACCTTCCTCAAGCCACCTTGCTTTAGCTCTTTGATTCCACCATGTAGATAACCTTTTCAAGGTAACATTAAGTTCACAAATTTCTAAGTAAAATCAGGTCTTGAGCTGACCAATCATTCCCCATAGCTTCTTCAGATTGTAGTTCCAGAATTTCCATCTTCAGCTTTACTTTAAGTTCATTTAGATCTTTTCATTTGCTTTTACTCCAAAAGAAAAGTGCTTTCAATGTTCTGTTAATCTTTCTTTGTAGAACCATACCTTCCTCCCCAAAGTCATTCTTCATCCAAGAGTGATAAACAATGCTTCTAGCCGCTGGATACATCCTCCAAGTATCTTCAAATCTAATGATTTTATACTTTATACGCTCCTTTTCGTTGACCTTGAAGGTAATAGGACTATGATCCGAAGCCACCCTAGCAAGATGCCTAGTAGCAGCCGAAGGAAGCAATTTCAGAGCAGTAGAATTCAACAGACATCTGTCAAGCCTCTCCCAAATCCTAGATGTCCCTTCCTTATTATTACATCATGTATACCTTGGACCAATAATCCCCACATCGTGAAAGTCACAACTAGTCATGAAACCCTTCATATCTCTAGGTTCTTTGGTAAAAAGGAATCTTTTGCCACCTCTTTTCTCATCTTTATTAAGCACACAATTAAAATCTCCCCCAATGATAGAAGGATTAGAGCTCACCATACATTTATTCAATAAACTCCAAAGAGTTTCACGCTCCTTGTAACATCTACTACCATACACAGTAGCAATCCTCCAAGATCCCATTCTAGGGATAGATAAATCCCCCACAATCACCTGTGAAGAAGTATCAGTAATAAAAAAGTTCCCAATCTTCATATTCCATAACACTAAGATGACACCAGAAAGACCCATCGCAGGAAAATGATAGAAATCCCATTCCTTACCAATAAGAACATCAACATCCTTCCTATTGATAATACTCATCTTAGTCTCCATAAGGCCAATGAAAAAAACATCATGATCTTTAACCACCTCTTTCAAGTACAGAGGAACTTCCCTCTTCCTAGCCCCTCTGCAGTTCCAAAATAAAAGTGAAGACATTTAAACAAAGGTAGGGGAACTCACCCCAATTAGGGACACCATTCTTCCATCGCTTTTCTTCTTCTTTATTTCTTGATCAACCGGCCCCAAGGATTTCAACTCCTTGGCCAATTTGACTTTAGCAGAGCCATTCAAGCTGGGTTTAACATCAGTCCCCACATCAGTATTCTTACTTTACTTCCTCTTAATCAACAACTTGACAAAATCATCATGCTCCTCATGTCAGTCTATATCATTATCTTCATTTAAAACTGAAAAAGAATTATTCAAACAAATTCCTGCTTTACAGTTTTCGGCCTCTACTCCTATGTTTACATTGGTTTCTGGAACTGAATTTTCCTCCATCTGTTCCTTGTTTTCTTTTCCATTAGCATCCTGCTCTATGTTCTGATCATTATGTTCCCAAGTTATCCTTCACTCTGTTCTTACTAGAGTTGTTATTTCTATATCCATCCACACCTTTGAAAACCCGTCTGTTCTTAAACTGGACATGAATCCAAGGCCCATACTCTGCATTGGTCACTGTTGTTTTAATTCCTCCATCCGTTTTCCTTACTTCTCCAATAACTTCTTCAGAATTTCCCATTGCCTGATTCTTAATCCCCAGAACCACCTTCTCAGGGCATGTATTCAATTCATGCCCCGCCCGACCACACTGATAGCAAAGTAGATTTATCTTCTCATATTCAACCCGTTGGAAGAATCTTCCGGCAAGACCATCAATCCAAACTCCATTTGGGAGCTTCTTTTCCAAGTCAATCTTGACGCAGATGCGGGCGAACTCTCCCTTTCCCCACCGAAACGTATTTCCATCTAAATACAATGGTGTGCCAAATTGAGAAGCAATTCTCGCAAGGCTATCCTCGTCCCAACAGAACAGAGGTAAGCACGGAAGTATAATCCACACCGGATCTGAAATCCCTTTAAACGAATACGGATCAATTGCCAGTGGCCATCTATCCATACCAATAATGTATCCATTGACATACCAGGGTCCACCATTTAAAACTTCATCCACCGCCTCACTGGTTTTGAAGGAGCAGAGGATCCAGTTCATACCGATTGAAGTCATGTGAAATCTACCAAATTTGTTCCATTGTTTTCTCAGATCAAAACTGCAAACAGAATAAGGAACATTACCTCCAAGGACTTTGATAACAATCGAATTTTTCAGCACCTCCGAATTTTTGGCTTCTATCACTGGATTAAGCTTCACCGAAATACCATCCTCAGAGAGTTCAACTTGTTCATTTTTAAAATCAATTCTAATATGCTTTGGCTTCGACCAGGCTCCAATTACCTTACCAACATCTCCTTGTTCATTACAATTCAAAGTTTCATTCAGTAATTCCTTATCAGAGCTATTTCCTTTGCCAGAAATTTCGTCACTCTTGGGGTTGAAAACAACTTCTTCCTGAACAGGACGAGACTGGTTCATCCCAGAAAAACTATTAACCTTTAATACAATATTCTTAATCTCCGATGATTCAAGATTATCACGAATACAATTCTTTGCATTCCCTAATATTTCCGCAGCAATCTGTCCCGATAAACCTTTAATCAAGATCTTCTTTCCTTTACCTTCAATCACCATTGGCCAAATCACCGATCGTGATCCTTCTCTGATCAACAAGCCGCTTCTACCTCTACCACCCAATCAAAGAGAACTGGAAGGACGCGGACCTTCCATAACATCGGCCAAGAATGCCGATGAGCTGCCGGCGACGGTGCCTCCAGCCGAAAACAAAACAGCGGGAGAAACAAATTTGAAACGAAAAATGGGTTTACTCTCTCTAGAAACCCGGACTCTCTCTCTCTAGGAACGGGATCAATAGAATTTTTACCTAACCAATCAACTTGCCTAAGTTAGGGATTTGAATTCCTCCTTGCACTAGAATAAGAATGAAAAAACTTTGAGTTGCAATCACCCTCAACCATCCATTTAAACTTTGCTATTTGTTTCTACCATGAATTCAACCGAGCCAAAGTTGAGTTAAGTTCATTTATTTTAGCTTTGAGAGTCCAACATTCCTCTTCTGATAGAAACCCAACATCCAATTCCTTGATTTGAGGATTCAAAATATCTTCCAATAGGCAATCCTTTAATTGGTTCAAATTCTTGATTTTGGCTCTACTCCAGTAGAATAGAGATTACAATGCTCTTTTTAATTTGATATTAAGAATATGAGAATAGCTCCCAAAATAAACCTTGTTCCACTCTTTCCTCACCACAGTAGAAGAAGCCAGGAAGGAAGCCCAAACATCCTCAAACTTGATGTTCCTTTAAGTCACCGAATTAAATTTAAGAAAATTTAGAATAATTGGACAAAGGTCCGAAGCCACTCTAGCCAAGTATATGACCACCATATGATGGGTTAAATTTATAGAAGTTGAGTTATCGAAACACCTGTCCAATCTCTCTAGAATCTAAACCCCTCTAATGTTGTTCTTGCACCAAGTAAACTTTGGGCCAATGAACCCTTCCTTATGAAATTCATTATTAGAAAAAAAGGCTTTCATCTCCTTAGGTCCTTATGAAAATAAAAATATCTTCCCTCCTATCTTATCCTCCTTGGAAATCAGATAATAGAAATCTCCTCCCACCACCATAGGAACATCTATGGTAGAATGCTTTTCGAATATCTCCCACAGATTACTTCTTTTATACACATCCTTATTTCCATACAAAGAAGCTATCCTCCATGAACATTTGTTAATGATTTCTAAATCATCAATTACCCATTAAGAAGATGATTCAACAATAAAAAAATCAACCAATTTAAAATTCCTTAAAATAAGAATACCTCCAGACAAACCTTCTTATGGCACAAGGAAATAGTCCAAACCATCCCAATCAACAAATTGACTTCTTTCCTATCAATAGAAGACTTTTTGGTTTCCACCAAGCCCAAAAAGAAAACACAATTTAATAAACTCTTTAAGGTATAAAGAATCACTTTTCTTCCTAGCTCCTCTACAATCAAAAAAGTTATAGATGACATTATTGAAAAAGAGGGGTAAAAATCCCCTTTATACCTTTTAACTCCATATCCAATCTTCTACCCCTAGTATTTGAACTAATTAGGCCTAGTTGTTTTGGTTTTTTTTTCTTTTCTTTTTAGCCTGATAGGAGCCCCCTTCTTTACTTCCCATTTCATCAATGTCCCTATTTAGAGGAATAAGTCTTGAGGCTCCTGTAGCATCAGTAACCTCAAAAAACATCTCATCCTCCAATTTAGACTGAATTAATTCACCTTCTTTAGCAACATCAATTAATTTATGAAATTTTTTGGGACGGGTGAGGGAAGAGAGAGAAGCTCCACAAATTAAGGAAGGATTTGGAAGAAGATCTTGAAGAATTTGTGTGGCATTGTTTGAGATGGAAGATGGTGGCCGGTCATCCAAGGATGACCGGAACACCAAAAATTCTTTATCTACCGCGAGTCCAATCATGTTGGATTCAAAAGGTAGATTATCCTTCTATCGAATCTCTTCTTTTCGGATTTTGGAATCCCCTCTAGTTATAAATGAGGGTGGCTTAAATGCTAAAGAAAAACCTTTGTCGATTTTAGGCAAAGTTAAGGAAGTAATTTCGTTTTTTGATATGCCTAAACCTTTGGAGACTATCATTAATGGAGCAAATGACAAGGAAGCTTCTTCTTCAAAAGGGATTTTTACTAAAATTTTGAAGAAGGACATGGTTATTCCAATTATTTCTCCAAAATTGGATATCCCTAATGTGTGGACTAAAAAACCTCACATTAAAATAAATTTTAGTGAAATTCATGATGATATGGGAGATGAAAATGTTGTCTTTCTTGACAAGGAAAAGGAATTAGCTAATGTTCAAATCTTGAACAATTCCTTGGTTGTTAAGATTCTTAGAAAAAATTATCCTTTTTCTAAAAGTGCATTTGAATTAAGAAAGCAATGGTCGAAATTTGGAGGATTTCATATTACATTGCTTGGTCTAGATTGGCTCCTTTGTTCTTTTCAATCACATGAAGCCAAGGAGGGAGTTCTTAATGGAGGACCTTGGTTTGTAGGGGGTTTTGTGGTAGGTTTAGACAATTGGTCTCCTACCTTCTCTCCTCATTCTTTGAATGGAATTTCTTCTCCAATTTGGGTACGTCTTCCACATTTGCATCTTCTCTGTTGGGATGAATCCAATATCACTAGAATTATTTCTAGAATTGGAACTCCAATTTTATTGGATGGTAATATGTTTAGATGGGGGAGAAGGGAATTTGCTAGAGCTTGTATCCGAGTTAATTTGAATTCCAAACTCCCATCTGGAATTTGGGTGGAAGGGGTTCATGGTAAATTTTTTCAGAAATTTGAGTATGAAAATTTATCAGCTTTTTGCTTCAAGTGTGGGATAATCGGCCATAATGAGAATGTGTTTCCTAATTCTACTCATAATCAAAATCCTTTTGTTAAAGAGATTCCTTCCAGTTCTTTCAAATCTGAGGATTTTGGCCCTTGGATGCATGTGAAGTTCAAAAATAAAAGGAGGTTCAATCATGAGAAAAAGCTGTTTAAAGTTGTATCAACCTTGGATAAATCATAGCAAGTTTGTGTTAATATCAAAGATGCAGCCTTTGATGAAGTTGAAGGAGACGGTATTGCTGGTGCAGTTTTTGCTGAAGATCATTTGACAGCTATGAAGGCTGCAGAAAATAAGGAAGAAGAAGATAAGATAGTTAGGCAAGGAGCTGAAATTCCCATAACTATTCCTGAATTTGCTGAAACGGCTGATTCAATGCAGGAAATTCAAAATTTAAATTCAGCAAATAATTTGACTAATCTCGAGAATATGGAAGGTAATTTGTTGTATATCAACAGCAATTCGAATTCAATTTCTAAATTCGAATGTCCTCAAATTGAGGAATCTAATAAGGGAGAAGTCTATGCTGCTGATTCTTCTCAAGGTGCTGAAATTAAGGGAGCTAACAAACCTTTGTTTGAATTCAAAATTGCTGATTTTCAGGAGGTAAGTG